AGGGCCTTTTTTTTTTTTAATTCTCAAAAATTATATTTTTTTAAGTTGTTGTATTTTTTAAATTTAAATAATAAATTATGTTTGGCCCTATGCCCTCAATTGGAGATGATTTTTTGTGATAGGGCTAAAACAAGCCCTCTGTCCCTTTGGCCTTCGGTTGGAGATGGAGGCAAATATGGCCATGTATTGTTCATTAAAATATTCATTAAAATATTAATATCTTGGAGGGCCAGATGGCTAAAACGAGCCATCTGGCCAGTCATTGGTTGGAGATGACCTTAGGTAACCTAAAGGGATTTTCATTTTTTTTTTTAAATAGCGATAAGTTGTGGTATTCACTTTATATCGAATTTCAACAATCTAAATCGTTTATATAAATCTCGATTCATAGATCATCCTTACAAAAATTCAATTCAGTTCAAAGTCATTTGCCTATTTTAATTATCACGATAAAATTTCAATATTTCTTAGAGAACAAAGTGTTTGTCAATTTTTTTGAACTCAATTAGATATCTGCCTTAAATATTTTCGACTTGGCTAATATTTTGTAAGGGTGATCTATGACATGCAACTTGAAAAATAGACGGTTCAAATTAGGGGTGGGCAAACGGGTATAGGAACCACGGGTCGGGACGGGTAATCAAGGTTCGGGGTGGGTACGGGTCGATTCCAAATTTTTAATATGAGAAACGAGGCGGGACAGGTGGGGCTTTGAAATTTTAAGGGCGGGCCGGTTCCAGATGTATAGAAAACGGGGTCCTGGACCGGCTCGTTTGTAATTGCAATGGACTGATGAGATTGAACCCTAACCTACCATCCAATCTTAACCGTTAGTTTTACCCTAGGTTCTCTCTTGTCTCGAGTCCTCGACTCTGTCACTGGACTGGACCTCGAAGCTCGAACTCGATTATCTCTCGTCGACATCACCATCAATCATATCCTCCACAACCCCGACATCATCGTCGTCGCGAGTCTGGGCTCTGGTGACCACCACGACGGCCCAACAACCTCGATTGTCCTCCTTAAGTCCTCAATGACATCCCAAACATGGAGAACCCAGGCACCCATGATAACACAATGTTTATACATTTATATTGCCCATATTTCCTAAGTTTTACGCTATGTTTTCTTGTGAAATTGGTTGTTTGATGTGTTTAGTGCATATTTTGTAGATAATGGGCCGTAGAGAAGACTTTGGAGTCTTTGGTGATTTCAAGACTAAAAGGGATCAATATTGAGAAGAATTGAAGTCAAGAAGCATTCCAACAGTCATCAAATGTTAAATTGTTCAATCCACAACTTAATGGTTGCTGTGTGAAAATTATAACTAGAGCTGGAAGGTGCTGAGCAGAATTTTCATTTTCGTTGGGACATAAAAAATTCATCAGGACAAACTGAGTGTTGTGTCACATATGCACGGAAAGCTCTGGATGTCTAGTTTTGGCAGAATTTTACAGATCATGATTTGGATGCTTCTAGAAGAAGTTATACCTGTTTTAGTACGAGAAGTCAGTTCAGGAATTCTACGCGGAAGTGGAGTCCAGTTTGGATCAGGAAACCGAAGTCTGATGATGTTGGGATTCCTGTTTGGGCTGGGATTCAACAATTTCGGCAAAGCAAGCCAAACAAAACCTACCTATATATTCCTTAGATGTTTATTTAAGAAGAGGAACGTGAAAGAGAGCAGAGAGGAAAAAGGGGAGTCACACTTCATCACAGAGGATTGACCTAAGGAAGACGCCAACGCCGAGTGGGTTCTCCATTGTTTTCTTTTACATCTTTTCCGACTTGGTGATCATGATTGTGATAATGATGTCTTATTATATCTGATGGTCATGATGAATTAATTCTTTGTTAGGGATTCAATGTAGTCTTCATGATAATTCTATGTCTTAGTTAACTTCATTCTTTTATCAATTCACGGTTTCTAGTTTCATTCATTGTGCTTATATCATTCTTTATGTTCATGTTATTGATTAGCTACCTTTAATATGAATTTTTAGATGTATGAGACAAGGTTATAGTAGACACCATATGTTTAGCCTTGAGATAGCTCTCTTGGATGAATGAATTGTTGTTGATGCAGACGCCATGCTAAGACACTTTTTGGTTTTTTTTGTTCTTCTTGCACTTAATGAATTTTTTATTATTGACTTAGACTAGACGCCATGGTTAAGTTGACGATTAAGAATAATTGGTTACACCTGGACGCCTAACGGATAATCATAATAAGGAGAGAACGAACCCTAGAACTTGAATTGAATTGTTCTTACTAAGTTATCTAAAGACATAGAATTGGATTGATATGGTGAAGTCGGATACCTAGTGTTTCAACCATTGTTTTCAGAAATTATTTACATAAATTCTCTTTAACTTACTGCACTTAAGATTACTTGATCAACTTCTTTTTGGTTAATTATTTGAATTTCGTAGTTTAGTTGTTTTCGTTAATTTAATTCTAGTGGGTACTACAAAATTGGATTTAGTTAGGTGACTTTGCAAATCCCTATGGGTACGACACTCGTATTTTCTTGCTATACTATCATATCAATTCATGCACGTTCGAGAAATATAATTTGTTCATCAACCCGCACCACCCATCTTCTTGATTCTCCTTCTCTCTTCCTTGACGACATCACCGCCGTTGCTACCACCAACACTCCATCGTAGAAGCCAATCAGGTGAATTCTTTAACCTCTGATGTTAATTGATGCTTAAAGCCTTAAACCTACCAAATCTAAACATAGTCCTTCCCATATTTTGCATAATTTCTTGTGCTAATTATTATATGGGATGTGTTGGGATGTATGTATGTTGGGTTTTTATCAAATAATTAGACTTTCTTTTATTTGTGATGATTTTATTCACGTTTTCAATATCTTATTTATTTATAATTTATAAATGACAGGGCTGGGTTTGTGGTTGCCTGTGTGCAAGTGAAGTACAACTTTCGTATTCCTTTCGGAGCTATCGTAGCAGTCTCCAGTGGAATCTCCTACCTCTGCTACTATTCACACAAAAAAAAGGACTCGTGGACTCATGAACTCGACCCTTTTCTTTTAAACCCAGTATGGTCCAGTCCCTTCAAAATTGGGTCTGGCCTGGCCCGTGCCTAGCCCTAGTTCAAATCGTTAAAGTTCCATGTGATGTGGACCCCACAACTAATCCTTATTTTTATAAAAAAAAAAATGGAGATTCCTTTTCCTAAAGGTTTCCTTTAACATATATTTTTGCTATTTTAAAAATAATAAGTGAATATTATTTAATGTAATAAAAATAACACGTATTTTTTATTTTTAAAATCTAAAAGAATTATAAAAAATATGCACGATTTTCTAAACAACCACCATGGATGACGTAGTGGTTGAGAATGAATTCCATGCTTGTATTTCATACGACACGTTTGAGTTTGATTCCTGCTGCTAGTGAATCACACGATGGTGGTCAGGAGAACGTTGAAATACCTCAGTGACTCTTCCTTTCCTGGGAAGGATTTAATTTTTCTTGGACTTTAAAAACAAGAAACATGTGTCATTTTTTTATTTAGTCATATCAAAAAGTGATATATATGATACTCATTAGTATGTATCTAAGTATTATCCGAGAATTCATATGCCATGTCTGAGAAGGTAGACGTAGGGCAAACTCACACTTTTAATTTATTATTTTAGTAAATTATCATTATTTTATTACTATTAGTTTCTTGCTACCAACCCGGTGGTGCCAACTAGGATAATGAATTGCGTATAATTCTCTCTCTCTCTCTCTCTCTCTCTCTCTCTCTCTCTCTCTCTCTCTCAAATTAGCACTTGAGAGTATCACCAAAGGAGATATCAAATTTGAAGTAAAAAATTTAATTTGACAGTGTATGTGACACTTTGACATCTTTTAAAGATTTACTCTCCACCCAATATGTTTAATTAAAACATTTAATATTCAATTAGAAAACAAGAATCAAATTAATAAAATTGCATTCAATAATCAATTAAAAAAAATTTGAAGCTGCTGTTAATTTTGGCAACATGGGCGAGGAGGACTACCAATTAATGTCATGCTACATCAAATTTAACTTTTCTATTGAAAAACATTGTTGTCGCCTTTTTAATTATTAGTGTTGGTTTTGACATTTTGACATATTCTTTAAAGATGCTTTGACTTGACCACCTACGAGTCAAATTTAAGAACAATTAACTAAAAATCAATGATAAGTAAGAAAATTTTAACGTAAAGAAGTAATGGAAACGGAAATATTAATTTAAATAATTTTATTTATTTATTTCTTATACTTAATTTTATAGTACTTAATTTTATTTATTGTTTCTAATTAAATTAGTTGGGTAAATTACATTTTACCCCCTCAAGTTTGAGGTCTATTTCAATTCCTTACATCTTTAAAACATTTCAATTTCATACCTTAAATTTGATTTAGTTGCAATTTCATACAATCCGTTACATAATTTGTTAGAATGACTGTTAAGTGATGATGTGGCAGATATGAGACCAAATTTTTAATGAGGTGGATGTCAACTTTGCACCACGTGGATAGAAAAAATTATAACATATAAAAAAAATTATTATTATTTGAAATATTTAATAAATAATTAAAATGTCAGCACAAAAACAAAAAAAATCAACCCCACCCCACCCCTCGACCCCTCTTCTCTCTGATTAACTCCTCATCCGCTCCTCTACCATCCCCACACCTCTTCTCCCTTTGATCAACCCCATCTTCCATAACCACCAAGAACACGCCTCTCTATCACTATTAAACCTTGACACGACACCGCCACCTCCTTTCCCTTCGCCTCGCCAACTGCTCCGATGACGTCGCTCTCTCCTTCACCGCCTTCAAATCCCTCTCCACCCTTCAGTCCCTCCAATTCCTCAACTGCCCTACTGCTCCAATCCGCTTCCCCGCTGACCTCGTCACCTCCATCCACTCCTTCACATGCATCAACTCCCTCCGCCGCCTCACCAGAGTCTGGCTCGCTTACCTCTAAAACCTCACCTTCTCCAACGTCCAAGTTAAGGCCTCCGGACCCTTCGTCATTCTTGGAAACTTGAAGAAGCTCAGGTCAGTCACCATCTCCCATGCCAATTTAATCGGTAACATTCGGAAACACATGAATTTAAACCTTACCCACATCGATTTTTCCGGCAATAAGCTTCGGGGAAAGATACCCAGTTCCCTTACACTCCTCGAAAACCTCAAAACCTTAAACCTGTCCTCCAATTCCATCAATGGAGAAATACCTACTTCGATCGGGGACCTGATTTCGCTAAAGAACGTGTCTTTGTCCTCAAATTCTTTATCCGATGCCATCCCGGAGTCGATTTCAGTAATCTCGGACTTAGTTCATCTTGAGGCAGGGATTTGCAGTGTGTTGGTGCGTGGCGAGGGAGGGAGGAAGTTCAGGGAGTCTCGTGCAATGCGTGGGATTTGCAAGGAGGAAGAAGGTAGCACGAGGAAGAAGAGGTTGAAGTTCTATAGGGCGGCGGAAAAAGCTTCCCAAACCCAAAGGATTATTGGTTGCAGACAAGCACGGAGGAGATGGGATAGAGCCGAGGAAGAGATGCGGTTATTGGCCTAAGCTTTGCCCATATAGTTGGGGAGAGAGAATGGTGCGAGCGAAAGAGTGTTGGGGGGCGGGATGGTGGGGAATTTGGGGAAGAAGCGGATTTGGGTTTTTTTTTTGTTTGTAAATAAGTTTTCTTTAAATAATTTTTTAAAATTTTTAAATTTTTAGCCACGTGGCACAAATGTGGTAGCCACGTCAGCACAAATGGGCCCCTCATATTTGACACGTCATCACTTAACGGCCATTCTACCAGATTATGTAACGGATTGTATGAAATTGCAACTAAATCATATTTAAGGTATGAAATTGAAATGTTTTAAAGATATCGTAAGGAATTGAAATTGACCTCAAACTTGAGGAGGTAAAATGTAATTTACCCAAATTAGTTTCATGACACCAAAACTTTGAAATATTAAATATATATGTTTTGTCAGTAGTCAATAATCATAGTTTTGTTACAAACAATATTTTATAATGTGGAGGACAACGATTTGAATCGAAGGATAGTGGTTCGAATATTTTTATTTGATAGAAAACAAAAAGTACAGCTTTACTCGAAGAGTAATGCTACTTATACTTATTTTTACTTCTCACGTCCCTTTTAATTTTAGACCGTTGGGTCAAATAAATTAAAGAAGATCATTGGCAAAAATTAACAAAAGTGTTTGAGAGATAAAAATAGGTGCGTAAATTATTTGAAAAGGACTTTACTTGATTAAATTTTTGTCAAATTTTTCTTTTTCTTCTGTATCAAAAGAGACTGTACCTTATTCACTCTTGCACCTTAAGTCGTCTAGTCTCGCTTGTATAAAAGAAATAAGGCCTAATCGGATAAATGGTCCCCATGGTCATAAGGTATTCGGATGATAGCCCCTGTGGTAAAAAAATTCGGATTTAAACCCATGTGGTCACAGTCTGTTAGGATTTAAACCCCTGTGGTCTAAGTCTGTTAGGATTTATGCCCTTCTGTCATTCCTCCATTAGGTTTAGGTTGGCCAAATAGGATAAATGGTCCCCGTGGTCATAAGGAATTTGGAAGATAGCCCCTGTGGTAGAAAAAATTCGGATTTAAACCCCTGCGGTCTAAGTCTATTAGGATTTATGCCTGAAATTAGAGGTTATGTCATTCATTTGTTAAGCTTACAGGTGGAGCAGAGTTTCTCTGAATATCTATCAATAAAAAATATCTTACAATAAAAAAAAGGGGGGGGGGGGAGAGAAGATTTCAGTTTATGGTAAAAAAATTCATTCATCTTAATTATTTCACAAGAAGAAAAAGACGAAAACAGAGGATCTGTTGAATTTCAAATAGTTAGTTTCACCAATAGGATACAAAGACTTACTTCACATTTACAATTACACAAAAAAAACTATTTATCTAAGAGAGGTTTACGTAAAATTCTGGGAAAACGCCAACGATTACTATCTTATTTGTCAAAGAAAAATATAATATGTATAAAGAATTAATTAATCGGTTGGACATTCGGGAGTCAAAAACTCGTTAATTTTATAAAGGCATTTTGAATTATTTGATTTATTAGATCTTGAATTTTAATGAATTATGTGATTTATTAGTTCCACCTGTAAGCTTAGCGGAGAAATGATAGAACCTCTAGTTTCGGGCATAAATCCTAACAAACTTAGACCACAGGGGTTTAAATCCGAATTTTTTTTACCACATGAACTATCTTCCGAATACCTTATGACCACGAGGACTATTTATCCGATTTTGCCAACATAAACCTAATGGAGGAATGACAGAAGGGCATAAATCCTAACAGACTTAGACCACAGGGGTTTAAATCCTAACAGACTATGACCACAGGGGTTTAAATCCGAAATTTTTTACCACAGGGGCTATCATCTGAATACCTTATGACCACGAGGATCATTTATCCGATTAGGCCAAGAAATAATTATCTATAAAAGCCTACCCCGCCTATATTTCAACTCCATGAATTCACTTTTGAGGATAATTTGAAAATACAGGGAAACAAAAGGGTAGTAGCCAGAAATAATTGTTTGTGACACTTCAAAATACTCATGCACCGTGGAGATGGGATTCTCTCCGGATCCCTTCCACCAAGTCTACCAAGTCCACTCATCTAGGCTATTGAAATTTGATCCAACGGCTACAAACAGAGAATCTCTTTAAAAGTTATAACAACTTTAGCCGTTGAATCAAATTTCAATATTTCGAACAAGTGGACTTGAATGGACTTAGTGGATGGGATCTGGAGAGGATCCTTTCCATGCACTATCTACATTCCGCTTCTGAGCAACAGTAGCAAATTCAGTAACTTTTTGAGACATGAGAACCTAGTGGACCAAGTTTCTGTGGCATGGTTCAACCGCATGGCCTCAAACCTAAAAGGTTTGTTTTAAGGGGAAGCGGATCACTCTTCAAAATAAATTTTCTACTCCTAATGTCAATCATGTTATTTTCTTCTTTTTTTTTCAGAACCTTCGATTGTCTATTTACACGTACCTAATGTAAAAAGTACGGGAAGAGGAAGGGAGGAAGGGCGTATAATTATTTTAGAGCGGTAATAACAACTCTCGAAGTACTAGAGCAACCTATTTTCGCTCTTATCTGCCTTTATGCAAACAACAGAACAACTGCACGAGGGAGAGGCGCCAAAGAACTGAAAAAATATATCTCAAGCAAACAAAAACCATTGTTAGAGTCAATGTGACCATACAGAACTTGTTCAGCACTTAGAAACACCCAATCGAATGGAACATGCTTGATGACTACGTTCGGTCCATTCAAACTTTCATTACAGAAACAAGAATTTGTACCTAATGCACGATTGAATACTCCAACTTTCCAAAAGTACGAAGACTATGAAAGAGTGAAAGAGGAGAGAGTTTATAACTCATTCTTCCGATGGCCTTTGCCCCAAAACTGGAATGTCTTCATACCGTTTCTGCATTCAAAAGAGAACATTCGGTTCAGATGTAAAACTCGTATGACGGATGTATGATACTGCAACAAAATAATAACTTTAGGTATGGCATTGTAATGTTGGAAAGATGAGGTGTGAGAGCAAAATGATGCCCAAACTTGAGGGTATAAAATGTAATTTACCCAAAAAAAGTTCAATATCAAGAATGTTGTAAAGCTACTTAGAACGGAAGAAAGAATCTAAACTGCATGAAAGGTATTTGCAATTCAATATACATTGTCTAGGACATGGATGTGCAAAAAAAAATCCACCCATATCAACGATGGTCAGATTAATAAAAGTTCCTCTAACAGGCTACCAGCTCTCCCGAACATGAAAGGTTCAATATACATCCAAACACGCACATGACCTAGTGGTATGCAACAGCTCCAGCAATGGGCAAAAGTTTGTCTTCAGAGAAAAACTAACATGCACTAAAAGAAGGAAAAACGGGTAGATGCAATACAATATTCTGTATCTAACCCGTACAATAACACGAAGATATATGCATACATATAATTCTCCAATCAACTATATTTGTATACATCAAGCACATATTTTGAACAATACGAAAATGCATAACATATTAAAATGATAATGGTGGACATACCCCAACGTTGTTGTACTCCCACAATTTGTGAACTCCATAATCCACGGCCTGAAACCAGCAAATTAAATACATAAGAGCTCTGGAAATTGTTCTTCTTTCATAAAAAGAGAGGAGAAGAAACCAAATGCCACATCAAATAATACAAAACAATTCAGAAAGGAAAGGAAAAAAAATCATACAGAACCATGCATGGTAGTCGTTTTAAAGCACAAATTGGGACTTTATATGGCCTCATTTGGTGTCAAGGACTGGATATGATAACTCACAAGATTCATTGTATGTTGAATAAACAAATAGCTGTCAACTTCCAATTCAAGGTCTAAGACGGATTAGTATCCCTTAAAATGCCCACAAAAATGGTAGGATTTGGAAGGAACAAACATTTTGTCATGTCCAACCCATCTTCTTCCTTCAACTTGGACAAAATTTAGCATCCATCTCTTCCTTCAACAAACATTGAATCCAGTAAAATACCCCCTAGCCGCCAAACGAGGCCTACGTTCTGCTTGGTCTCCTTAAGATAGCCAAGAATTACATCTCAATGGTTCCACAATGTATGACCCTCAACTCGATTGAGGTTAGAAATTGATTGTCCATACGGCATAAGATTACTGGATACAATTTCACAACCAGCAGAATATAGAAACCAAATATTGTCGTAATTTAAATCTCTCACATTGCGCAAGCAAATGACTACGACATGATTAACAATAGTCGAATTAAAGATTAAAAAAATTAAATAAATCCCTACAAAACAATATCAACTTTCAATCCATTTCTCACAAACACAATACTAATCCATAATAAAGCGAATGGGTTATTTCTGAGCTCGGAAATCAAGCAAATCAAGCAAATTTCATTTCCTCCGATTTTCTGGGCAACCAAACAGAAAATTACAAAAACAGATCGCCAAACAGACCAAAACGACTAATTAGAGAAGAAGCCGTAAATTTGAGAGTTGAGAGGCTCACCCGCTCACCGAGGAAGGCGCCGGCGATGACGAAGGTGACGTAGACTGAGTTCCGGCGCATGATGACCCTGTAGAGCCCTTCGAAAAGGCCTCCGCTGGTTTTTCCGGCTGCTGAAGCCATGGCGAAGTGCGCGCGTCTCTTTCACTCGCCTTTGATCCGTGGGCTAGGGTGGTCGGAGCTCGCACCAGTACGATAAACTGTGACGCGATCAAAGACAACAATGGACGGTGAATTGGTATACGATACGAAAATATTAAAAAGCAAAAGAGTGATTGTATCGGGAGATGCTATTTATCTTTTTCGATTGGGCGAGGAGCACGGACAGGTAGAGAGCCCAACCCAACAGAAAAGGCTTTAGTTTGCAAGAAGGAAAGCACTACTATCTTTTTCTTCTTTTCATTTTGGGCCTGAAACTCATTACAACCTGTCAATTTCTTCCTTACCGTGAGATTTTAAACTTTTCCATCCAGTTTTTTATTGAGAAATTTTATTTGAACCTATATAAGTTTTTTCAAACTTAACTTAAACTTTAAATATGAATTGTCTTTTTTACTTTATTGCATGATTACCGTTAAGTACAAGATGAAATTAACAATAAAACTCAAATTTATCAATAAACCCACACCGAAATAAAATCTTAACATCATGTAATGTTTATCCTACATTCATTCCAGCTAAAACCCTACATTGATCCTACGTTGAAATGAAATTTTTCGTTTGATTTCTATTTTTATAAAGTTGAGAATATGAGTTTTTCAGTGTCAATTTACGGCCATCAACACCGAAAGTTGAGAATATGGGTTTTGGGTTTCGTTGTGTAAGTGGTTGCAAAGCCTCACCTTGGACTTAAGACTCTGTTCTTGGTTGAATATTTCAACGGAGAAGAAGTGGTTCCCCAACTTGAGAATGAGGTGAGTGTTCCCGAGGCGGTTGTAAGTTTCATTGGTCTCGCATTATTATGGCTACTGCAGAAGGGGTAGAAGATGGGACGACAAACTCATCCATCTTCGTCACACCATATGTACCATTTCCAGTAGCACCTTTAGGACATAACCATCAATCAGTTATGATTGGTTCCATTTACATACAACTGTAACAAAATGATTTGCTAACTAAACTAGATAAGAACAAACTGTCGGGGACTTGGCATCTTCGTCTTTAGAAGATATAGATGATTCTTAGCAAGTCCCGTTGGGGTTTTCCAGAGTGAGCAAGAAATTTGTAGTCTACTGTCCATTACCCAACCAACCAAGTGATATTTGGAAATTGAAACTAATATAATAGACTTACCCTGATAATTGATTTCACTATGAGCAGTTATGTGAATTCCAGTATGGAGCTCTTACGTGACGGGAGCGAGAGCATGAGTAAAGGTAACTACCTGCCAAAATAATAGCATCACCCGATGATAAGTCACCTCTAAGTATAACACATCATCTCGTGGTAGAGCTTGGCAAGCTCATCCTCCATCGCTACGGGCCACACAAATTATCCATCACCATTCTCTACACCTATGGCAGCTTCGTCGATACCTCTAGTATTCCCGCCTAACTGCAACATCTCACAATATCTACATAGCAAGAAAAGTTATTATAGTTTATTTTCTTTGGTGTTTTAAGTATAGACATATGAAAGCATGTACTTTATGCTTATCCAAATACAATCACGAGGGACATGGATATCAAGAAAACAAGATTGAAGTGTTAGGTATATGGAGGATTCATAAACAAGTAGAAACTTCACCAAATTATTCAATTGGGATTTTTATTTTCTAAACGGGGTAAAGATATATTCACATTTTGAATTGGGTTTGTGAGGGTAATTTAGGTCTAAATTTGGGTTTAAAGAGATATTAATTCTTTCCTTAAAAATAATATGAGGTGTAGATGGTAAGTTGAGCGTAGAAAGAGATTATATAGGTTCCAATAAAATTTTTCTTCTTTATTTACTTTAGTCATGTGACTTGCATATGACATATCTAAAACGGTAATATTGTCATTTCAATGTGCATGGTATGGTGTTGTGGTTTTTTAGGTAACCAGAACCCTTTTGGCAAGGGATGAAAGCAATAGCCACACAGATTGAAGGAATGGATTCAAACTTTTTGGCCAGAAGATTCTCAAACACAAACAAATCTTGACAAATTTTCAACATTGGTTGAACAAGTAAATGTCTTTCCAACTCAGATGATAAGTTTCATAGATTTGTTATACCAGAAGATACCGAAGAATAGTGTAACGAACCAGGTGCGGAGGAAACAAATGAGCATTGTTCGAGGCAAAGATGGATTTCACCCTTCGCATAGCTCCCCAAGGGTGAATGGCATTTGGTGTTTGGTAGTCGGGCTCTTGCTGCTTAGAGTGCTGCAAAAAGAGTTCAAAGTTAGCTTGAAAGTTGCCTTTGTAGGGCCTTAGATATGGGCCTTAGATGTAGGCCTTGAGGCTCACAATCAAACTAACAAAGTGGTAGGAGTGCCACTGCTATCTTCGTATAACAGATGTTGAATAGATAAGATTTAAGTTGATTACTTGCGCCCCAAGTTTACTTAAACTTTTTGTTATTAAGGAACTGTCGCAGATGAGTTAAGTCTGTATTAAGTTCTTTTTTTTTTCCTTGTAAACAAGGACCTTTAGTTCATAATCTTATATGTCCAAAAAGGAATAAGTCTAGAGCCCTTTAAACCATTTCCTCGATTCCAATTTGTTCTTAATGAAAACAGGTTTATTAAATTAACCAGATTCAAATGCAAATGGGACTCTTAGGTAGAAAACAATTGGAAATAACTTGAATACATACTGAAAAGTGTATTAAGTGACATATCTTCTAAATGAAAATACAAACGAAGAAGTTATATGCTAAAAAGGGATGGATGGTAAACAAGTTTTACACGAGGGAATCAGTACTACAACACTATGGAAAGTAGCAGAGCTTTTACACTAGACAAAAGATAGCTTTTCTAAGAGAATTAGTGCTAAAAGGACTGAATCTAAGCGAGTTTCAGCTTTCTGGATGCAAATCTGGCTTGAGAGTAGAGTTTGTATGTTGTTTGTTTGATTAGTTGAGCATCCTTGTTTCTTGTGCTTGCTTCACCTTTTATAGGCAATTTGGCCCGACTGTGGCTTGCTCTTGGTCGAAGGTTCTCAGGGGCAATGAGTTATCATATATTTACTTTTAGTGCCACTAGAAAGTACTTTTTGGCTGATAGTGAGGTGGTTTCTGTCAATTGTCATTTCAATCATAGACACATGGCCTATGCTTTAATTGAAGAGGCGCCAATTTGTTCATGGCCTGTCGACTGGGCCTCGAGCAAATCTACTTTCAATTTTGACATCTTTAGGCCTTGTTCTTATCAAGCCCAATGCTAAATATTACCCCTAACAAGCATGATACCGAGGAGCTTGATAGTTACATGGGTTTGAATCTGACCAAGAAAATAAGTTGAAATTATCAAAAAGTTTAAAAGTTTCAAAATTTATACAGAATGATAGAGATCATGACTTCAGATATCCAAAACTTTGTGGGTGTGTTTGATTGGCTTTTCTAAGTTTCACTGGACTAGCTAGGACACTTACACTGTGTTTGGTGCAAGTAAGGATTGTGTTGAATGAGACTAAGTCGGACTCGCTAGGACTAAACGCTTCGCTAAGAAGCCTTAGTGAAACCCCCAAAAAACGAGATGATTGCTAATCCTATCTCCTACACTTGCTTTGCTTTATCTCAGGCTCGTCCAGGACTCCAGTATGCTTCGCATCGTTCTAGTAGCCGTCTGAAGATCGATGACGAACCTATATCGTCGTTGAAACCCAAATCCCCAAAAGACAAGATATTTGAAAGAATGCTGCCGGATAAGCGCTGCTGCAAGTGCAACGACGGCCAGAAGTGTCCTTAATCCCCGTTTCAACGATGGCGCTATAAGCACAAACCACCACTTCAACAAGGTCAAAACCAAAATCAAACGGATTTAGGCCAACCAAGCTTGCCCATTAGGGATTCCACGCCCACCGAACAAAAACCTGAAAAAACCAAACTTGATTATTTGTTTTGTAGAAATTTTTTTGGCAATTAATCGGAAAAAATAGGGAAGGGAAGGAGGAGAGCGTGGGACGGGGAGAACAAGGGAGAAAAGGATGGACTGATGGAGGGTTCCAGAGAGAGGCAGAGTTTTTTTAGAATAAAAAAAGGTCGAATGAATTAATATAATATTATTAGATATGAATTAAAAATATATATAATATTGTAGTTTGGTATTATCCTTCTTTTTAGTCTGATACTGCACAAAACACTTCACTAAGTCAATCCAGCTTAGTGTACTTTAAGCCAGTCAAGCTTAGTCCTTGAAATCCAGTCCGAGATAATCCGATGCAACAAACACGCCCTGTATTCCTATAATTTTTGTTATGTTATTTGTATGAAGTTATTTGCTTAAACTAAAGAAATACATACTTTTAATTGATTAAATTTCGATCATCCCAACAATTGAAATATGTAAATGGATAATTTCGATCAATTTTCCCCTACTTTTTGCTATGTGTAATGTCCTTATCTTTGAATTCCGAGAACCTCGTCACACAACACCGGTGTGTATTATTTTATTTTATTTTGACAAAACAATAAAATAAGTTAAAGGTGAGGATCGGAGACCAGGAACTACCAAAGAGCGATAGCTTTCGCTACCTAGGATCTATCTTGCAAAAGAACGAAGAATTAGATGGAGACCTCAACCATAGAATACAAGCTGAATAGATGAAGTGGAAAAGTGCATCCGGCGTGTTATATGACCGTCGTATGCCACTGAAGCTCAAGGGAAAATTTTACAGGATAGTAATAAGGCCGGGGATGCTGTATGGCACAGAATGTTGGACGGTGAAGCATCAACACGTACATAAAATGGGTGTAGAGGAGATGAGGATGCTTCGTTGGATGTGTGGGTACACGAGAAAGGATAAGATTAGGAATGAAAATATCTGAGGCAAAGTAGAAGTAGCCAAAATTGAAGGAAATATAAGAGAAAATCGGTTACGGTGGTTTGGACATGTGCAAAGAAGGCCTATTGACGCTCCGATTAGAAGATGCGACTACAGATAGAGGTCCAGAGCCAAAGGGGTAAAGAAAGACCTAGGAAAACTTTACAAGGAACTCTAAGAAAAGACTTAGAGTACTTAAATCTAACGGAGGACATGACACAAAACCGAGCGCAATGGCGTTCTAAGATTCATATATCCGACCTCACTTAGTGAGAAAAGACTTTGTTGTTGTTGTTGTAGTAT